CCCTGCCAGCCGCGTAGCATCGCCTCTGCTCCTTCTCCCCGAACACTACCAACTACAGCTAACACGTGTACCCCGAGGTGCCTGGACAGAAAGGCAGCCCCCCAAAACCCTGTGGAGCACAGCTGCACTCTGACACAGGGGGGTCGCCGTGCGGCGGAGGCCACTCAAGCAACAGCTGGTCTTCCCGCTAAATGCCAGGCCCAGTGCCGCCAGGCCCCACCTCTCAGAACGCGGTGAGCCCTCACGGCCGCCTGAGCACCCTGCCTGCCCGTCGCCGTGTGACAGGGCGGGCAGTGCGCTGCCCAGGTGCAGCCCTGTGCGCGGCCGCGCCCCCAGAGCACAGGGCAACCTGCTGCGGCAGGCGGCGGTGTGGAGGGCAGGGCAGGGCTCAGAGCTGAGGCCCGGACGCAGGCATCCAGCCCGCCTCCCTGTGCCGTTCAGCCTGTCCCCTCACCTGGAAGGCGCGCGTGCGGACAGAAGTGCCTGTCGTCCCCACTTCTCCCCGACTGGGGTGGCCTCTGTGGTCTCTGGGGGCCAGGCCCCGGCCAACCTTTAGGTTCATTCCTGTGCACCCCCACCCACGTCCCCCAAATGCATACAGCCAGAGGCCATGAGGACACAGCAGGCCAGGCCACAAGGGCTCCCCCAGTCAGACGAGAGGACCTGCAACAGGGCTAGAACGTGGCCAACCTCAAGGCCCCCTTCTGAGCCCCCCCAAAGCTCTGGCCTAGCTCTCTCAGGGCAGGACACGGAGGTGACTGACTCGAACCCCCCCGACTCCGACCTCAATGCCTGCCTCACGGCCCGGACTCCTGCTCTGCCCAGAGGCCTGCACCGCAAAGAGCACGACCCCAAAGTGGGCCCCCCTCTAGGAGCCAGCGGCCACTCAGCCCCACCGCCGCCCACGGTGCCAGCAGAGCACTCGGCGGCCGACCCTGGAGGGGGCAGGACCCAGGCTCTCCTCCGGGGCAGCCGCCGGAAACCCGGACCCCAGGCCTAGTGCAGCGGCCCCTCACCCGCCCACAGCCACCCTGCCCTTCCCAGGGGCAACAGGAGGCAGTCCCACCCAGCCCTGCCTAGCCCCGGGGGCCGCCTTGCACCCTCGCCATCTCCCAGCCTAGGAATTCCTGCTGTAAGTAACACAGTGGAACGGGATCTCCCGCCGGCGCCGCACCGCCTGCCCAGAGCGCAAGTGCCCAGCGGGAGAGACGGCTGTGCCAGGCGGGGGCTGCGGGCCAGCGGCGGGCAGCTTCACGCAGGGACCCGAGAGGGCCGCCGCCCCCAGCCTGACTGCCACACGCCCACTCCTGCCCCGGGTTCAGCCCAGACCGGGTAGGCGGCCACAGGTGGGGTCTCGCGGGCAGAGGGAAGCCCAAGATTCAGGGGGTCGCGAGGCCAGCACCCTGGACCTACTGGGTCCTCCCTCCTTCCTGGCTTAAATGAGGGCCCCTCCAGAAAGCTGTTCCACCCCAACGGGGCAGTGAGCCCCCTCCCCTTCCCTCGCTCC